GTGGAGAAATATGTCGCAGTAACTGATGGTCCATTGGAGAAAATTTTAGATTTTGGTCTGGTAACCTAAACTTTTGCCAAGATTCAAACAAAATGCTTATTGGGTATATTCTTTTGCTTCATTATTATTATATTTTTAATCTATTTGTGTAAAACAAAATGCTTATTGGGTTGGTTTTGCAAAACTTTGTATAGGATTTTAAATAAAAAATTTAGGAGTTTTTTTGCTGCTTAAGTATTGTTGTTTTGTAAAATTTAATAGACTATTATTATTATTATTGTATTTTAATATGGTTTATGATATTTATTTGTTGAGATTCAATGGGATTGTATTTTTTATTATGTTTGGGTTTGTTGATATTTAGTGGTTATTTTATTCTTTAGAATGCATTTTTTAATTAATAAAGTAGTTCATTTATGTGTTTTAAATATTAAAATTTGGTTAGATGATTGTGTGTTTGTGTAAAAAAATTATTAAACAATTATTTAGGGAGAAATTATATATATATTTTTTTTTTCTTAAAAAGGTAACTTTCCGCTACACCCGCCCTACAAGCGGGTGTAGCGGAAAGTCATAATTTTTTTGTTTAAAAAATACTTTCCGCTACACCCGTCCTGTAGCGGGTGTAGCGGAAAGTTTGGATTAAAAAAAAAAAAAAAATATTTTGTATGTTTTTCGCTACACCCTGTATGGGTGTAGCGGAAAGCTAGACACTTTCAGCGACACTGGATTTCGCTACACCTGTACAGGTGTAGCGAATACACTTTTACAGGTGTAGCTGATGTGATTTTTTGTACTAGTGAATGCTCAGTTTGCAGTTACGGCATAGTGGTTATGGAGATGGAGGAACAAAGCAGTATTTAGCAACCTGAAGAAACCACTAAGTGTCAAGATTTCGTGGATCAACTCGCAGTTGGAAGACATAGGTAGGGCATTTCAAAAAGCTAAGGGAATGACTCAACCTAAGGAGCAATCAGTTTGGAGGCAGTTGGTATGGGTCAAACCTCCGCATGGTTTTATTAAGGTTAATGTTGATGGTTTAGTAAATCCATCCACCGGAAGAGCAAGTTGCGGAGGTATCGCCAGGAACGACTCCGGGGAATGGTTGCTTGGCTTCACCTACAGCATCGATAATTGTTCCCCTCTTGAGGCCGAGGCCTGGGCATTGCTTAAGGGAGTCCAAGTGGCGGTATCAATGGGAATCACGAAGGCAGTATTCGAGAGTGACGCGGAAGAAGTCATAATGTTCATGAATAGTGAAGACAGGCCTAGAATCACAGCGCATAATATCCTCGAAGCTTGTAGAAAGGAGTTAAGAAATTTGGAGGCATGGCAGGTTATTCCAATCTTTAGAGACCAGAACCAAGTAGCGGATACATTGGCGAAGCTAGCTCCACGATTTCCCCCTGGTTTACACGTTAAAATTGACCCACCTGATGAAATACTAGGCCTATTAGATGACGATGCCTCTAGGGTTCCCAGATGGCGTGAATGCTTTGATCTCAACTGCTAATATGTAATAGTTTTTTTTGGGTTCTCCCCTTCCATTGAAAAAAAAAAAAAAAAAAAAAAAAAAAAAAAAAAAAACTACTTCAACCTTTTGATATAATAGTGCTAATTAACACACACACACACGCGTGCGCGAACTTTTTCAAAGTTAATATTTTTATTTAAAATAATATTTTAACCATTAATCTCAAAATGACAAATTAATATAATTTTCTACAAAATTAAAAATTTAAGAATTTAATAACATTTGAACTTGTACGTGCTATTAAAATTTTTTATAAGACTTGTAATATTATTTGATAACTTATAAATATTATAAAGTGTATTATAATTTATAAAACCCATGTTAGATTTTGTCCGAATCTGGGCCGTGCCTGGGCCGATTTTGAATTGGGTTCTGAACTATTTTTTTATAAGACCTGAACCGGCCCTCTATAAGCCGGTTCAGGTTTGGGTTAAGTCCGGCCCAAATCCGGTGAAGCCCAAACTCACTTTTTTCCTAGCCAATTCAGGACTGGTTCGATTTTGAACGGCCCGTGACCACCTCTAATATATAGTATATCATATAGGCCAACAACAATCGTTATGTTATAGACCCGTGACCAGCATGCATTGTGGACACTGTAACGGTGCCGTTAGTGGCACCCAATGTACTCTCTTTTTGATTTTATATATAAGAGAGGCTCATGAATAGCAATCGTTATGCTATGGACCCGTGTCCAGCATGCATTGTGGACACGAAACGGTGCCGTACGTAAGTGGCACCGTTATCTTCCATTATTTTTTTTTTGTTTTTTTTTTTTTTTTAAATTTCAGCCCGCTTTGTTATAAGAGCATATGTTCATAATTTTATTACTACATGTTTATAATTGTAAGTTCATAATGCCAGAACTCTGTGTTCATAATTTCATAACTGTACATTTATAATTGCATAATTGTCTACAACACATATCGCTTAGAGATGGAGTTCAACCTTTTGGAAGAATGTCCACACACATACACACACATATACATAATACAAAAATAATAATGATACAATAATGATAAAATCGTTACATCCAATCTATTACACTTAATAATGTCCACTTAATTTATATATTTATAATAACAAATAATTAATTTTACCATAATGTAAAATTGGTTCAAATTGAATTTGTAATTTCAATTCTAGAAAGACAGTGGATGTCGAACAGTTAATATAGATAGCATCATTTTTACCATTCTAAACTAAAGTTGGTAGGTTCGATTCTCATCCCAGGTCAAGTTCACATATTATGTGAAAAAGTTAGTAAAAAAAAAAAAAACTCCATGGATATTAGAGCAGGTCACGGTTTGCTTTAAGTTGGTAAGCTTGAATTATTTCATTGACTGGCAAAATAAGTGGGATTCCAAGACTAATATTTAATCATTCTTTTAAAAGGTTGAACTCCAATCCTAAGGGTCCCTAACACTCCGACCTGACAGAGCATTTGTAATGTCATATTTCAAATTATTATTATTATTATTATTTTGGTTGGGAAAATCATTTTATTCTGTAGAAGCATTTTGACATCTCCTACACTATATTCCTACGTACACTTGTTTAGGAAGGAATAAGATTCCCCATGTTCCTCACCTCCTTCCTAGGTAGGTTAAAGTGTTACATACTTTTCCAAAGGATAACAAGAACATATACCTGTCTCAGTCAACAAATTAAACACTCAAGCAATCAGTTAAATCTTGCGGTCAATTAATTAATTCAGACTATTAGGATTAATTTTCTATTCGACTACTCGTAAGAACGGTCTATTATCTTTTTTTTTTGAGTCTCCACAATTTAGTTTACCTCTTTGTAGATCTTTTATTGACTAGAAGCGAGTTTCATTCAAAATATATAGTAGAGGTGGCCAAATCCCGGACCTGGACCCGTTCATTTCGTACCAGGTCTGGACCTAGGTTAGCACTAATTGGGACCGGCCCAGGATAACTTGGGCTAGTCCCGTGCCGGGCCTACCCCGGGCCAGTCTCGCGCTAGGTCTAGATTATTATTATTATTATTATTATTATTATTATTATTATTATTATTATTATTATATAAAATATTTATAAATTGTTTTTAATTTTGTTTGAAATGAAATTTAACCCATTGTCCTTCAAAAAAAAATGTAACCCATTCAACTCTTGATTAATAATGAAAGTTCTTACCACTTAAACTACTTCAACCTGTTGATATAATAGCGCTAATTAAATTTTACTCACGTGCACTTTTTCAAAGTTAATATTTTTGTTTAAAATAATATTTTAACCATTAATCTCAAAATAAAAAATTAATATGATTTTCTACAAAATTAAAAATTTAAGAATTTAATAACATTTAAACTTGTACGTACTATTAAAATTTTTTATAAGACTTGTAATATTATTTGATAACTTTTAAATATTATAAAGTGTATTGTAATTTATAAAACCCATGCTAGATTTTGTCCGGATATGGGCTGTGCCTGGACTAATTAGAGACCTAGGCCGGTTTTGAATTGGACTCTGAACTATTTTTTTATAGGACCTGAACCGGCCCTCTATAAGCCGGTTCAGGTTTGGGTTAAGTCCGGCCCAAATCCGGTGAAGCCCAAACTCACTTTTTTCCTAGCCAATTCAGGACTGGTTCGATTTTGAACGGCCCGTGACCACCTCTAATATATAGTATATCATATAGGCCAACAACAATCGTTATGCTATGGACCCGTGACCAGCATGTATTGTGGACACTGTAACGGTGCCGTTAGTGGCACCCAATGTACTCTCTTTTTTATTTTATATATAAGAGAGGCTCATGAATAGCAATCGTTATGCTATGGACCCGTGTCCAGCATGCATTGTGGACACGGAACGGTGCCGTACGTAAGTGGCACCGTTATCTTCCATTATTTTTTTTTGTTTTGTTTTTTTTTTAAAAAATTTCAGACCGCTTTGGTATAGGAGCATATGTTCATAATTTTATTACTATATGTTTATAATTGTAAGTTCATAATGTCAAAGCTCTGTGTTCATAATTCCATAACTGTACATTCATAATTGCATAATTGTACATTCATACTTCCATAACTATACATTCATAATTCCGTAACTGTACATTCATAATTCAATAACTGTAAATTCATAATTTTTGAAGCTCTATGTTCACAATTTTAGAGCTCTATATTCATAATTTTATCACTATATGTTCATAATTGTAAGTTCATAATGTCATAGCTCTGTGTTCATAATTCCAATTCTTACATTCATAATTCTATAACTATACATTCATAATTCCACAAACGAATAACGCCGCTAACGCCGAGACAAAATCAATTTTTTTAAAAAAAATTAGAATGCTGCATTTTCCGTGAAAACGACGTCGTTTTGGACTCGTGTCCACAATGCATTTTGGACACGAGTCCACAACATAATTTGCGGGCCAACAACACCTGGATAATGTACTCCACGGAATAATTAATGTGTTTGTCTCATGCATATTGAAGTCACTGAACACAATTTTTATTATATAGTCACTGGTAACCGATAAGGAGAGACCATGCATTCAACAACATTAAACATGTATACACACTCTTCAAGATTTATAAAAGTTTCCACCAAATTTATGCACTTCATAACTATCCATATAATACATACCCAACTAACACAAGTACACTCCTATAATACATAAACAAGTCTACATGAGCTTATCTCACTGATTCACTAAGCAGTATTTAGAAGAAGAGAATAATACATAAACAAGATCCATGATCCGTATCAAACATGTAACAACACCGTTTGCCTTTGTCACTTATCAATTAGGTCAACTAATCTTGATTGACACTCGAGCCAACGAGCTAAATCGCTGTTCATTGTAAAGATAGATGATCTATAATGATCAACACCATTCGACTTTGTCACTTATGGTATATATATATGGGTATGAACAACTAGCGTTGATTAACACCTGCGAATTTTCGAAATCTCAACAACAAATGTGCGATAATCCCACACAAGAACCCTAGTGCAGCGCTCGACCCAACAAGCGAAACCGCGGTACAAACCAACAAAACAAACGACTCTTCCTTGGAACTCATGTCCCTAGCACACATTGCCAACTCAACCCCAGCAAACAACAGCAGAACCCCCAAAACCCCAACCGGAAACTGCACCAGAATCTTCACTATAGAGCTGCCCAAAACCAGCCCCAAAACCACCTTCACCACGCCCAGAAGCGCCACGCAACCGCCGCTCCTCCCGCCGAACTTGTACTGCCCGGCCAGCCCCCCGGCGCCGTGGCAGCACGGCATGCCACCAAACCAGCACCCCACCAGGTTCATCAGCCCCACCGTCACCGACACCGACGTGGCCGACACCTCCTTCCCGGGGAAAAGATCCGTCGAGAGCTTGCAAACGGCAACAACGGAGTTCAAGATTGACAACGGCAGCTGCGGGATTGTCCCCTTCACAAACCCTTCCTGAAGAAAGAAACTAGTTACAGAAGACACAAGACCAAAGGACTAGGCAAAAGACTAACTAACACAAATTAAGTCTCAACACCTTCCATGCATGCTTAGAGATCTTCACCACTTTAATGGAGGACGGCCCAAACTTGAACCTTTTCACCGCGTTGGGATCTCTTATGATCGCCAGAATAAGACCAAGCAAGAAGATTATGAAAGCCGAGGGAAGTAAAGCTATTATTTTTGTCACCGTACTTTTCTTCGTTCTTATTGGACTCTCTTCTTCTTCTTCTCCGTTTTCTTGATCCTCGCCGGAACCATTCACCAGTATGATAAAACCAGCACAGATTATAGCTAACAACAAACCGTCTAACCCCAGCCACGGCCGCTCGCCGGCGGATTTTGACTTGGAAAAATTTTGTTCATTTCTTACGTACTTCACCGCCGTCATGGCGAATGACAAACCTGTTAAATATAAATATAAACTAACATAAACTTAGACTTGTTTGGTAAAATAGTTAGCATATCAATCAATTTTGACTTGTTTAATATACTAAAATTTAAAAAGTTGTTCAAAATAGTTTTTTCAATCATCTTTTTTTGGAAAGTCATTTTGTATATAATCAGGTAACGGCTAATTTAGCTAACATCTTTTTACAATAAGTTCATGCTATCAACTAGTTAAACCCACTAATATAATCCGTTAACAGTTATACAGAAGTTTTAATTTACGAGGAGACAAACCTTGTGCTAGCTGAATACCTCGGACCACAGATAATGGGATGAGCTTGTACACGAGCTGCATCAGCCCGGTGATGCCGAGGAGGAAGAGGATCCCGCCGGTGCAAATTCCGGCGGCCATCACCTCTGGGATGTCGAAACTGGGGCTGGAGATGGCGGCGGCGGCGATGGACTTCATGGGCTGGACTGGCATGGGGACGCCGTAGACAGCCCCCGTGACAAAATTATAGACGCCCGTGAAAATCAACGTCGTACCGAGGTCTAAGTTCTTGGCCAGTGTCAAGGCCAGCACTATCGGAATATAGGTGCCCAAATCCCCCATTGCGCCGTTCAGCTCCGCCCATTTCGACCGGAACACAAGGTTCCCGCTGAGCCTTCGCACCAGCGCGGCGGCGGTGGGGCGGCGTCGAACGCAGCCGCCGGCTTCGAGCGGTGAACGGGTGGTTAGTTGCTGCGGAGTGGACTCCATAGCTGCGCTGTATATGAACAGTGAGAGAATTTGAAAAGGAATTAATGTGAGAGTGAAATAGAGTGAGAAGAGGAATAAATTAAAGAAAATGGTTAGGAGATCAAATGTCTTTTTAAGAGATGAGAGGCCATTGTTAGCTGAGAATTGTGCGCCGTTTAATGTGAACAAGGGCATATTCCAGGTGTTAACCTTCAATTGCATGTAATTATATTATATATATGTTGGTCAAGGCTTAAAGTCAACAGGTTGATTTGAAAACTGGCGTCCAATATTCTAGTTTTCTAACTTCACTTGTGCTTTCAAGTTGCATCAAACAAGCAAATAGCGAAGTAGACTTGAGATTGAGACTTTTATATATTAATTCAAGGATGATTATAAACTAAATTTGACAATTGATTGATAGAGTGTTTAATTTGGTAAATATGGTTAATATATATATGTCAATTTAGCAGTTTGATAATACCATACTTCGTTTAACTCAAACACGTAAAATAAATAAATGAATAAGGGTTAAATAGAACACTTAACTGCACACCAAATTGTAATTGGATCATCGAATTCAAAAAAATTTGCAATTGAGTCCCTAAACAATGCAAACTCATGCAATTTAACCCAAAATGATATGTTTACCTTAAAATATGCTGATGTGGCGGTTATCGAATTTAGACATAATTTTTTAAATAAAATAATTATTTAAAATTAATCTCCTTCGTCTCTGTCGGAGATGAAGGGGTTAATTCATCTCTGGCCGTCTCCTTGACCATGGAGACAAAGGGCAAGCTTCATCCCGGGCGGTCATAATATAAGGATATGAAGCCAACCCCTTCGCCTCTATGGCCAGGAGATGAAGGTGGCCAGTCACAGATGAATCAACTCCGGTTTTTTTTTTTTTTTTTAAATAATTTTATTTAAAATTATTTAAAAAAAATTTTTAATTCGGTACCCGCCACGTCATCATGTTTTCAGGTAAACATGTCATTTTAGGTTGAATTGCATGAGTGTACGTTGTTCAGAGATTCAATTGTATTTTTTTTTTTAGTTCGATGGACCAATTGTAATTTGGTGTGCAATTGAGTGGCTTATTTGACCATTATTCCTAAATAAGATAATTTCTCTTAATTCTCATTTTCAAATCCTAATTGCATGTTCAAAAGTGATAGGTGAGAAAATTTGTCTTGTCTATTTAGTACACTTGAGCTAAAAGAACAGTGACATTAAGAGATTTGGCTGATATTAAAAAAAAAAAAAAACAATTAGTTAAAAAAAATGAATGCATTAATAATTGAGGAGAAGAATAGGCTATATTGCTATAACTTAAGGAGAAAAGTGTCATTTTTCCAACCATTATTATTGGCTTTGAGGTTGTAACTGAGTGAAACAAACCTAGCACAATAGATCATTTAATGCATGTTATTGTATTCATAGTATTTATGTCCATTTCTCCGCATCATTTTTTTCTCCCAAAAAGTTAAATCCCCAACCCAATAAGATTTCCTTCTCCCCATCATTTTGCCCACTCTGCTTGCTAATCTTCTCCCTTTTTGGTCTTGTTATAGTGGCCCAGGCTTAATAAGGTCAATTGTTTCATTTGCAAACTGGGGTCCAATATTCTTTAGTTTTGTAACTTCACTTGTGCTTTCAAGTTGCATCAAACAAGCCAAAGAGTGGAGTAGACTTGAGATTATGAGCTGTGACCTTTTTCTTTTAATTGAAAGACAGTTTCACTTAACAACCTTCCAAAATGCATTTCATTTTAGCTAAAAATCTATCAATATAATAAAGCAACAACTTTCTACTAAAATCATTCTCCCGCCCAACCAATACGGCGCCGTTTAGAGTATGCGGATTTGAGGGAATATAATCGATGGTTTTCAAGTAACGTTTGGGTTTCCAATGACAATTATACGGCTAATATATTATGCTACCAGGGTTATTCAATAGACTTCTAATTATGTAAGACTTCTACTCATAACCTATATAAAATCTATTTCCAAGATTGCTTTAATCGATTTAAATATATACACGTAAAGACCTTAATATACACACATTCAGATTTTACAATGTATTTCAATTAAATGCTTCCAAAATATCTGCATGATTATGAAGATTAAATTCTTGGAAACTCAAAGGTTTCCATCAATATTCCGGCTGCAAATAATGTCAGGTTCATCCTTCGAATTCCACTTCTTGAGCCTATATAAACGTCACTGTCAAGCTTATTTCAACCACCAGTGTTCCAAATCAGCAAAAAGCAGTAAACCAATTTGTAAACCCCTGCATATTTTAAGATGCCAAGCCAATATATTTTGGTTAAAGATGTTGTCCCTCTAAATAGAGAGAGGGTCATTCGAATTAGGTGTGTGAGAGTTTATGAAATACCTGAAAGAGGTGCGAATCAGATGAAGAGTAGAGAGCTTGTGGTATGCGATGAAGAGGTAAGCACTATTTCGTACACACTGTTACATTTACCTTTATTTGTTTTCACACTAACAAAATCTGTTCACTATTCTATCATGAAATACAGGGAACATTTATTCATGTAAACATGCAAAACTCTGATGTAGACAAGTACAAGAATGTGTTCCAAGGAAGGGAAGCTATATTCTCTGAAAAATTTTCTGGTCTTCGGTCAGTACTATATGTATAGGACTTGTGACCATCGGTATATGATAAGGTTGAACTACAATACTCAAGTCAAAGCAATCAAATCCAGAGGGTTTCCTACCAACATGTTTCAGCTTAAACCCTACCAATGTCTTAAAGATCCAACATTAGTGAAAGACAAAGTCATGTTTGGTAAGTAATTTTTGCAGATTGCATTTTTTTACTTTGCAGATTTAATTTTTTTTACTTTGCAGATTTCATTTTTGAAGCTATATAATCTTCTATTGTTGTATTACAGATGTTATAGGCAGAGTCATTGAGATTCATGCACCATTAGACAAAATAATAGGTGGGAAACCAGCCAAACTAATAGATTTCAAAATAGCAGACAATGAGTAAGTTTCAAACACTCTATAACTTAATTTAATTCAATATTATTTCCATTTTACTAACTGAATTCACTACAGGGGAAATCAGTTGAAATGCACTGTTTGGGATAACCATGTAGCTTCCATGCTACCATTCTACAATTCAAATCTGAAAGAACCAGTTGTTGTGGTTATTCAGCTATGCAGAGCAAAAATTATAAATGGTAAGCTGTTTAATTATTCCTAATATATATTAGATTTCTGTGACTTTTTTTTTTAATGTTGTTTTATTAGGTGAAGTGAGGATCACAAGTTCCTACGATGCTACTAAGCTTTACTTGAATGCCTCTTATCAAGAAGTTGAAGATTTCAAAGCCAAGTAAGTTTCTAAACAGTGCTGTTTTTCTTTTTTTTTTTTTTGAATGCCAAGTAGGTTTCTAATTTTAATTGAATGCCTCTTATCACAAGTTGTGTAACAGTGAAAACACTGGTGTTTTTTTTTTTTTTTTTGTTATAGTTGTGTATTAAATATTTTTTTTCTGTCTACCCTGCTCTATTAATTTTTTTTTTTTTTGGATTTCTGTAGGATCACAACTGTTCACAGTCCTTTGAGAAGTATTACCACAAGTGCAGTTATGTCCCAGTCCACTGGCATTTCAGAATTTAATAGTGGATCCCTCACTGTCACCTCAGTTGGTGACTTATTGAAAAGCAAACAGGTTTAAGTTGTTCTACTATTATTATAAGATTTTTTATCTATTTGCATTTTGATATTGATAGATTGATAGGTTTTTTAGCAAGCAAGCAGGTTTTTTATTGATAGTTTGAAAAGCAAGGAAACTGGTTTTTTAGCTATTTAAGCAAACAGGTTTATATTGATAGATTTTTAGATTTTTATATTTCTTACCAGTGATACTAATTAATGGCCAATGCTACTAAACAATTCCTTTGTTCAATGCAGGATGGAGATTTTTATGTTCCAGCACAGATTGTAGGAATTGAAGGTTCATTTGGTTGGATGTACCTATCTTGCACGACTTCAGGTTGCAACAGAAAACTCAAACCAGATGGTGAGGATCTAATTTGTTCTAATTGTGATAAAAAGTTCAAGGAAGGAATGGCTAGATTTAGGGTGATTGTGAGGGTTATGGATAAAGGTTTATCAGATGCTCCATTCCTTTTATGGGATAGGGTGTGTTCAGAGTTGGTTGGAATTCCTGCTAGCCTCCTTTACAAGAAATATAACAAGGTAATCTCGCTATACTAAATACATATCTCTCTTATAAAAAAGATAATACATCCACACTAGATTTCTGTTTTAACTTTGATATTTGGTGTTTGTTTTGGTTATAGGTTCCAGATATTCCCAAAGAGTTGGAATCACTTATTGGATTGTCAATGATATTTAAGATAACATTGAAAATCAATCAAATGAGGGGAGCCAATCCAGCTTATGCTGTGATGAGATTGTTGAGGGATGAACTATTGGTTTCTACCTACTGTTCAAAGCTGAAAGACAACCAAGAGAAGGATCTTATACCTAAGATGATTGATGAAGATGAAGAGGAGGATGATGAATCTGACCAGGTACTACTATTTATTTTAGTAGGCATTTATTTTTTTAAGATCTTTTGGCTAACTATCAACACTAAATATCTGTTCAAATTTGCAGGAAGCATCAAATGAGGAAAATGAGGTGAACAGCCCAAGTAATGGTCAGCAGACTCAGAGCCCTGTGGCTGATTTGGAGGAATGCAGTGTGGTTAAGAGATCACTACTTGATAAGTTCTCTTCAAGTGTCAAGGTTATGAAGTCTAAAGTTGGTCTGTAAAACAAAACAATTTGATATTCATGCTCTGTTGGTTTGTAATGATTACAGTTTAAGATAATTGACCACCTTGGTGTGGTCTTGTGGTTTTTGATATTGCTTAAGACAATTGACCACCTTGGTGTGGTCTTGTGGTTTTGGATATTGGTTTTGGACTAACCTTTTTTTCACAATTAAGTTTAACTTAATTGCTGGTTGTAATGTGATTTGATTTTTTGTTTGGTATGTTGGTATTGTATTCTGTAACTCACTTTTTGCAGGTTGAATATGAAGACCCAGCAAGGAAGGCTAACAGTTTTGAAGGACTTAGCTAAAAGCACAATCATATATTGGGCTTTTAGCTGTCTGAGTTTGTTCTAATTTTTACGAAGTCTTGTGTAGTTGCAAGTGTTTTACTTGTGTATGTAATTTTTTTAGTGGGAAGATCTTGGATACTTTATTTGTAATCTATACTGTAATTTCTATCTACTGTAATAAATCAACTATTTGCACTATATACATTTTTCTATATTACTTTCATAGTAAACATGCACAATTTCAATATAATCATTAGCAAACTATATACGAAAGCCAAAAGTCTAAGTACAAAGTTAAACAGTCCATCATTGAATCAAACACAATAGAAATCAAGTATTTGCACTCTATTTCATAGTAAACACAATTTCAATATAATCATTAGCAAACTATATACTAAAGCCAAAAGTCTAAGTACAAAGTTAAACAGAGATCCTCAATAGAAAACATGTTTTCAATCAAACACATTAGAAAAGTCACAAATTTGAAATTGATCACATATACATTGAGTTTAAGCATAGTCCCACAAAAGTTAGATTATAACCAAAAATAATCCCTTTGCAACATTAGTTAGAAAATCCTTTATTCTAAACTTTGGAAGCGAAAACTGTATAAAAATCAACATTGACTTTGTCCATTCAAAAAGTACTTAGTCAATCTAAACCAATTAATATCAACTAAAACAAATCCTGATATAGCTTTGGTGAATTTAATTTTACATCAACTTTGGTTAAGTTAAATTTACATTACGCTTTAAAGTCAAAAGTACATCAAGATTATTAAAATGATCACAGTTAAGGTACAGACTTATTAAAGATTACACATTCTTGATTATTAAAAATTTTATTTGACAAACTTAAAAATATAGTGTTGGAAGCAGCTGTGAACAATGTAATTAGACAATCATATCTCTGAAACAATGCTTTTTTACTTATTCAATTCAAAAACGAATATATTTCCGCTGTCTGAAAATTCAATGTAACTATCATTGTTGTAAATAAATAAAAAAAACTGCTTATAAAATCTATTCATTATTTGTAAGTTTTGAGGGATGAACAAGAATGTAGGACAGAAAGTTTTATACATTTGTTACAAAATCTGATACAGCTTTGAGCTTAGAAGGTACCAATAAAAGCTAACAATGCTTTTTAGGACATTACAAATCCAAAAAATCAAAATACTAATTTACAATGTACTAATTTGTAATCTGAACTTTCTGAATCTGTGATATATAAGAATCTGTCACAAATGCAAAGTATTTAACTGTTGTGGCAAAAGGAATGTCAAAACAAAGAAAGATTAGATGTATTTTGAAAATCTAAATTACTCATTCAATATATGAATCACAAACAAAGTTTCATTATTTCCCAAAGAATCAAGAAAGAACAAAATGTTTTAAACTTATTTTGGTGTAGCAACTTGAACAAGCTATCTAAATATGCCAAAAAGTATTAAAGTACTCAGTTACGGAATTAATTCCCTAAACAAAAACAATTCTCCTGATTTTGGTTATCTAGAGAAACATAAATTTATCAAAACACTTTGCATCAGATTGTGAATACCACACAGTTTAGGATAGTCATCTAAAGCTTAAATAAACAAACTACAATTAATAATCTAAGAAAAAAAAAAGTTAAAAGAATTTGGCATAAGGTTAGAAAGATCAGCAGTTGCATATTCATAAAAATGATTTCACTTTCAACTGTTAAATTCATATTCACATTGTATTGGTTATCTAAGAAACAGAATTTCAATTCTATAACACTTGGCATCAGATTCTTTATATATCATCATTTGCCTAGAAAAAATCTCAGTTAGTAATACCACATATACCAATTTAACATCATTTTAACATAAGCCAATCCACATGATAAACCAGAGAATTAATAACAATTTTTAAATTAATAACAAATTCACTGTTTCCAAGAAGAACTCAACACTCATACTAATCAATTACTGCTTCAACATTTGGCACACAGAACACCATTTTTGAGATAAACAACAGAATCAATAAAATGATTATCATATAAAACCTGGAATTAAACACACTAATACAGTTACAATATTTGCAGTTTCAGTTTTACCACACAAAAAATAAACAGTGTAATCATGCGGAAAATTCTAAGTTCTACAATTATAGGGAGCAAGAGGAAGCAGCCAAGTAATAATCCAGGTAACCTACACACATTAAGTTTTTAGTTTCAGAATTACCTTTCGCAAATCTGGTTTTATGTACAGTGGGCCGAGAATTTTTACACAAAAACGCCATTGTTATCATTATTCTTGCTGAATATGTTACAAAACTGTCTGAAAAAAAAATCGAGATTAATACTTGGTTAAAACCCTAACTGATTTTGTATGTCTAACTAATCTATACACTATGTAAAAGTAAATATAATGATTTACACAGATTAGAGTATAAAAACACGAAATGGATAGAAATTTTACCTGATTTAAAGCTTTTCACACCATCGGTCGAATCCACAGTTAGGGTTTTTCGATCATTTCAAACCTCTATGTCTAAAACAACACAAATCGTTCTTAAACACTAGATGGATTTGAAATTACGGAGTCCTAATGAGTTAGTGAGGTAAGTGTTTAGACGAATCAAGGTTTTTCGGTAAATAGCGAGATTAGGCGGTCACAATGGAATTGGTGTGGCGTAACAGTATAAAACATAAACAATAGAGCCAAAGGAACAAGATCAGAGTGTTTAGCATGAAGATCAGAGTGTTTAGCATGAAGATCGGAGTGTTTACAGTAGGTTAGACACAGAGAGAGCTTAGAGAGGTTAGAGACAGAGAGAGCTTAGACACAGAGAGAGCTTACGAGCGGAGTGAGTGTAAGAGAGAGAGAGAGCTAAGAGGTAGGAGAGGGTGGTCTGAAATGTCAAAATGTGTATCTACGAGTAGTCTTAGGGAGAAGTGGGTCGGGTATATCGGGTCTGGGTTGTAGGGTCGGGTTTGGGCTTAGTGAATTTGGGCTTATGTATAGTTAAATATTGTGTTCTACATTTGCTAAGTAGGGCTTATTCAATGATTGATATAACTGGGTTAAGTATGGTCCAAGTAAATGTATATTCATCACAAAATTATATAATACATTTAGCAATTGGGATGTACATTGTGGGTGCATTGAGTATACATTATATTAGTTAATGTACATTAACTACAAAATTAATGTAAATGTAATATATTTTAAAAGTATTTCTGTTATGGTCCACATAACATTGTGTGGACCATTGTGTTTTACATTATTTTTGTTCTTTTTCCCTTCATTATATTAGGTACTGTACCTTAACTACAAAGTGTATGTACATTCCCTATATATTACAATTGTATGTCCAGAATGAAACAAGTATCCAGGTGTGGACCATGGTCCACACCGTAATGGGTTGTATTTTGTCATGTCTTTATTTTGTACTTATTAATATACAAAAAAAATTTAAATAAATATATTTTTTTGTTTATTATGTGGCAGAAAATGTACCTACTCTTACGGTGGGAACAAATACGGATGTTGCTGGAAAAGAAAATCAAACGAACTCATACGCGGCAGGAACACCAAATTGCACTGCTAATAGAACTGCAACACCCAATACTGGTGTCACGGATGGTAAACCAAAACAGTTCATTGTTTATTATATATGTTATTATTCTTTTTTATTCATGTATCTATACGTTTATACTAATGTTTATTTTATTGTATTTTTCTAAAAACAAGAATTTATCAGTATCACCTCGGCGCACATAATATGGAATATACAAATAGCAACAGTAAATGCAGAAAATTCGTACTAGGAGTCAACAGCCCTTTAGTCCAAACTAATAGTAGCGGCATCACTAATGGTAACTTCAAGTGCATTTTACAATTGGTCTTTGTTTTACTATATAATGCTTTAATTTAAACGTTCCTGTTTTGCTCACTGTAACGCTAAAAGGTCAAGTAAACCAATCCACTACTACAAGACGACCAGGCAAATTTTACCGGTAATTCCAAAGGGGACCAGGCAAGATATAGTTGGTGCAAGTATAAATTCATCATATCTTTGGAGAAGCTGTAAAGTCTTTAGACTGACAAAGAATCTGCAGCTTAGAGCATTGCAATCAGAGTCTGGAGTTCAAGAAATTGAAGAATATGCAAGGTGGATTGCTAATATAGGTGATGGAACGATTGGTGATTCGTTGGATGGTGAATGTGAGATCAACATTCCAGGAAAATTCTTACTCAAGTCGGTGGAGGATCCTATTTCTACGATTGTTGATAGCATATTCCCGGGGTTTCGTAATGGGATTCGAGACGTCAAATGTCTAAAAGATTGTGCAATTCTGGCTCCAACTTTGGACGTGGTAGATAACATCAATGAATACATGAATGAATTTAATACTGCAGAAGGAATGACGTATCTAAGCTGTGATTCGGTGTGCAAATCGGATTCCAATGTTGACATGCTTGCTGATCTACACACACGGGAGTTTTTAAATGGATTACGATGTTCTGGAGTGCCAAATCACTCATTGACTTTAAAAGTGGGATCACCCGTTATGCTATTGAGAAATATTGATCACTCATTGGGATTGTTCAATGGTACAAGAATGATCATTTCAAAGTTGGCTAAACATGTTTTAGAAGCGCAGATATTGACTGGAACAACTGCTGGTACGAAGGTTTTAATACCAAGGATGTCCTTAATACCGTCAGATCCGAGATTGCCGTTTAAGTTTCAGAGAAAACAATTTCCGCTAATGTTGTCATATGTCATGACAATAAACAAAAGCCAGGGTCAAACATTGTCAAACGTCGGTTTATTCCTGAAGAGACCGGTATTTAATCATGGACAACTGTATGTAGCTGTGTCAAGGGTTAGTAATCCGAGCGGATTAAAAATGTTGATTTGTGATGAAAATTTGCAATCCAAAAATACGACTACAAATGTCGTATTTAAAGAAGTTTTTAATAATGTGTAATAAAAATAGCAGTTCATACTATTACTTCTAACTGTTAGGCATTACGTATTACTTCTTAGATTTATGACCGTGCATCGCACGGGTGCAAATACTAGTTAAAATAATACTCCGTAATACAACTATACAATTATTGAAACTTCTATGGTGTCGATCAATACAATCATGTAGTGTACCGAGTAGCCCGCATGGGTAGCTCATCTGGTCATAGAGGTGAAACTTTGGAATAATGACCAAGGATCGAGTCTCACCAGCGACAGTGTGGGAGCAACATCTCAAAGTGAGGGGGCTTCTTGTGCGCAGTGAGCACCGGTCTAGCCTCTATGATTCATGTTTAGTTGACTCACCATGATGGCTTCTTGTGCGCAGTGAGCACCGGTCTAGCCTCTATGATTCATGTTTAAACAACATCTCAAAGTGAGGGGGCTTCTTGTGCGCAGTGAGCACCGGTCTAGCCTCTATGATTCATGTTTAGTTGACTCACCATGATGGCTTCTTGTGCGCAGTGAGCACCGGTCTAGCCTCTATGATTCATGTTTAGTTGACTCACCATGATTTACATCCTCCCAAATGCTCTGTCGGGCCGGGATGTGGGCGGTCTAGCCTCTATGATTCATGTTTAGTTGACTCACCATGATTTACATCCTCCCAAATGCTCTGTCGGGCCGGGATGTGGGGGGCCCTTAGGGTTGGGGTTCAGCCTTTTGGAATAATGTAGTGTACCGAGTATTACTGATAATGATTTTTAATGGTACTTGATTGGTAAATCCTATCACTGGTGAACCATAACAACTATGTTCATATAGGGGTGTAAATGAGCCGAGCCGCTTGCGAGCGGTTCGATTAAAGCTCGGCTCAGGCTTGGCCAAAATCGAGCTCGAGCGGCTCGTTTAGTAATCGAGCTCGAGCCGAGCCTCGATATTCTAAGCCCGTGACTCGTCGAGCCGCTCGCGAGCCATATAATATATAATATATATAATACATAATATAATATAATATAATATAATAATAATAATAATAATAATAATAATAATAATAATAATAATAATAATAATAATAATAATATATAAAAATAACAATTAGAAATTAAAATTTTAAACTCAAAATCCCTAAAAGATTTCTATTATTTATGTATGGATAAAACAAAGTAGTTTGAATTTTTAATCAAAAGTTTTAAATAGGTCAAATTCAATGTCAAAATCGAGCTCGAACCCGAGCTCAAGATCGAACTCGAGTTCGAACTCGAACAATCGAGCTGCTCGAGCCGAGCTCGAGTAGCCCGAAAATTACCGAGCTCGAGCATCAATTCTTGAGCTCGAACTCGAGCCGAGCCTTCATTAACGAGCTCGAGCTCAAGCCTATCCAGGCTCGAGCTCGGCTCGGCTCGTTTACACCCCTATGTTCATATAGTGATGCTTGCCCGACCATGGTCCAACATGCACATATTAGAACCTGGTTCACGATATAACAATTGACTATAATAATTATGTTCATAGAGTGATGCTTGCCTAGCCCATTGAACTTGGCAAATTATTATGTGCACCATGGTCCACAAAGTGTTGTATAGACCAAAATAAAAAGTACATTTTTAATATACTAAATGTACATTATTTTTGTACTGAATGTACATTATATAATATAAGGTACACTCAGTACACAAATAATGTACATTTCCTGAATACAATGTACATTATTTTTGTATTAAATGTACATTATTTTTGTACCTTCAAAAAGCAAAAATTTAATATATTAAAAATATACTTTTAATATGTTAAATCTGTATCTCGGAGCAAACTGAGATTAGTCAAGTGGACCTGGATAGTAAGACGGCCGAAGATTGACCCAAAACACCTCGTGGTTTACACCAAAAGAAAAAAGATTAAAAATCGTTTACTTCACTCAAAATGAGTTAAGTTGTGGGTCGAAAGTCGAGACCACAACTTAGACACATTCAATTTCATGATCACAATCATGTTGTATAAAATGGATAGCAAGCAAGGAAATGGAGAAGCAAAGCAAAAGTAAACCAACAGTTTTCCCAGATAAGAAGCATAATAGTTGTCTTCTCTGGAGGACCTCCATGATAATAGCAGCCACATGCCATGAACACCAAAGTACAGGAAAAAAAAAGGCATTTTAAAGAAAAGCTTGAATACATCACCTTCAGTGTGGAGTGTGGTGTGCCCATGTTCGACAGAGACAAGTCAAACAATGTACTCCAACAATGATCAGTTAAAGAAAGCGCGAAAAATTCATCACTGCCCTCCTAATCACAGTTCATAAACAAGGTATCCCCAAGGTCAGTACAGAATGATCAGTTAAAGAAAGCGCGAAAAATTCATCACTGCCATCCTAATCACAGTTCATAAACAAGGTATCCCGAAGGTCAGTACAGAATGATCAGTTAAAGAAAGCGTGTAAAATTCATCACACCCATCCTAATCACAGTTCATAAACATGGTAGGTATCCCGAAGGTCAATACAGAACGATCAGTTAAAGAATGGGCAAAAAATTCATCACTGCCATCCTAATCACAGTTCATACACAAGGTATCCCGAACGTCAATACAGAATGATCAGTTAAAGAAAGCGCACTGCAGAACAGAACCTAAGCAGAAGTAAGCACTGAAGCAGGATATATATATGACGCGAGTCTGAAACAGACAGGCAAATGAATCTAATGGCATATGCAATGTGATTATTCATAAAGTTTGAAACTCATAGTATAGCAGAGCTAATGATGCTTTTGGGCTTTAAGGCTGCTGGATTCAAGAGAATATGCAGAGAAGTTCACAAGTGTTCGTATCTGTAGGAAAATAAAGTATCGATTTCAGGAAGATACTTATTAAGATTTCAAATGGCAAAAGCTGAGGTATACATAAAATCATTAATATTCATTTAGAAAAGTTGGGTGAGGCTTATCAACTTCTGCCACTACAGAAGAACAAAAACGAAAATTTGGGGAGCCAAAAGGGTGTACTACAGCCCTTCTCCTCGAAGAGATTTCCAGAGGAAACTCTACTATAGCATATCAAAGTTAGAATTATGCAAAATCAAGGTTTAACCGTCTCACACCAAGACCATGAGAAATGAAATTCAGGAGCAGTGCACACTACAATCATCCATGGCTGCAGAAAGATCCACATAAAACAGCTCTTAGGAAACAGATGATAAATGGTGTCTACCCTGTGTGACAATCTCATCAATCATGGCCCTAGTGACTACAACGCAGTGTCCTATGTAGCAATGAACAAACTGCTCTCATAAGGTTCCTCGCGGCTGTTTGGCTTTTCAAAATCATCACCACCTTTATTGGTTTTCTCCTTTTCCTCATCAATCAAAATCTCCTCAGAGCGGCAAGAAGAACTACAAAATGCTTTCTCACCCCTGTATAACATAAAAACACGTATAAATTCTAAGAATCACAATTCAACTGTCAAATTATGCATAAACATATATAGATCACTAGAACAGCACATTGTAGCAAACCTGTATATAAATATGTCCTTGCCATCCAATTTCTTCTTGCATGTATAGCAGAAGCTCAAGAAATCACTTGAGGGATATGAAAAGTGTTCTTCACAGCAGCCAGGCCCCTTTGACAACCCATTTTCCTCTTCACCATTCTTTGAAAAATTGGTGAATTCATTGTTGTGACATTCTAAAATGCAGTCACAAAAAATATGGGTCACCTTAGGATTGGGGCCATGGGTTCTTACACAGGTATAATCCTCAGAAAGCTCTATCTTACTTGTTGAAATAGAACCAGCAGGCACTGGCATCGAGCGCAGCTTTGCACCTGATGAGTTGCCCAACTTTGACAGTTCTCTGACATTTTGAGAAATTGCTGAGTTTATTCCATGTTCAGTACCAAAACTCCCAGAGTGCAAGTTAGATTTACGGCTTGCAAAACTAGCAAAATGTGACCCAGATCTTCCTGAATCTAGTGAGCGAGAGCGCATATTTGCAGACGAAATACCCTCCTCCAATGGGGCATCTCCAATTCCAAACAAAACATAAGAACTGTCATTATGGAGATTGAATGGTTTAGGCTCAGTACAAGGGAAAATTGGAATGTTTTTAGGCAACGACTTAGCTGCACCAAAAGAGTCAGAATGGTTTAGAAAATTCTGTGTCTTGCAACTCATTTGTGGTCCAAAGATTATATTTTTACTCTTAGAGGGTATGGGAAGATTCCCGAGCCGCTTAGTTTTGTCATCAAGAGCATCAATAATGCTTAGGCCTACTTTACTACAACCCCAGCTCTTCTGATGTCCCTCAGATGATCTTTGAGACCTAAGGGTATTACTCAGAGTCGAGAAGACCCGAAATTCAAGTGGAGAAGTGGGACTTCTAACTGAATCAGATTCTGATTGCTTAGGATTGAGCCCAACAAACAGAGCAGGGACATTGAAGAAGGAACTGACTTTGTGTTTCTGAGCAAAAACACCAGAGCTTAAATGGGACTCTGATGATGAATCAGGCATCAGTTGACCCATCTGTTGATCTTTCTGTGATCTGGTCCTCTTCCTCAACATTGTCCTTAAACCTCAAATCGCCCGAGAAAATTTTCAATACACCAAAAGTCCAGCACCTGTATGAAGAAAACCAAAAAGTTAACCCACATTATATAAAAGCAAACTTACAAAAGTATGAACACAATCTCTGAAATCATTACAACATATACAATAAGTTCTTAGAATAAACAATTCAAATTAGATAAAAGAAATAAACTGTTATTAAAAGAAAGAAGCACTTGTTAGAATAATCAATCCATGAGCTGCATACTGTACATTCCAAAAAGAAATTAACAAACCCAGAATGGAAATCCATCCACAGATCAAAGGAGGATTAGCTCTAATCCAGTAATCCTTGCATGTTTGGAAGGCCAAAAAAAATTAGGAAAAAAAAAGCCCTTTGGTACTATATCCAAGACCTAGATAAATAATAGGATGAAGAAAACTTTGAAGAAGAAAGAAAAGGAAAGTGTTCCAGTCAGATATAAGAATAATCAGTCAAAGCCATGGTACTGAAAGTCAACAAGTAGGAGACCTCAAGAGTAGATGACAACAATACATATATTCAAGAAAATGGATATGTACACCAAAAAAAAAAAAAAAGGAGTATTCAAGAAAATGGACACTCAGCAACACATCCACATTTCATAGAAAAAAAATCAAAAATCAAAATCAAAATCAATATCCACCGAATCTAAATGCTCATTGATCAATCAATCATAAGCAAGAGATCCCATTCCATTTCTGTAATTAAAGGCCTAAATCGCACCCAAAAGAACCCGAAAAAGCAAAGAAAGAAAATCATAAACAGATTAAGAAGTTGAAAATCAGGTCACAGAAAGATCACTGTAAGAAATGAAGAACAAGAGAAAAAAAGAAGTAAATCAAAACTAGATTAAGCTTTACTCTTTTACTCCCCCATTAAGAAACGAAAAAATCCAAGCAAATAGTTTTCGAACAACGCAAAGTATAATCCTCTTATATCTTACAGTAGGGGTAACAAATTACAAAAGAAATTTGTTTTAAAAAGAAGAAAAATCCCTAGAAGCTCACCTGGCTTTTTCCAGCTCTAGAAGCTTCAGAGGTCTGAGTGAGAAACTCAAATGCAATGCAAGGAAGAAGAACTGTAGAGAGAGAGAGAGTTATCTCTCACAATTTATGTGTGTGATTGTATGTATGTATATATGTGTGACTGTGACTTGTTCAGTACACGTTTCCCCTCCTCTCTCTCTCTCTCTCTCTCTCTCTCTCAAAATCAGAGTAGCTTCTCAAATACACTTTCTCTCTCTCTCTCTCTCTATTCTCTAGAAATGGACACTGTACGCATACGCCTGTAATTCTGTAAATACATACATATACAGATATACTGAATACTGATATACAGAGTATAGATACAAATATAGGATTTTTGTTAATGCATTTTCCTCTCCATTTGTAATTATAAATAGTTATTGAAAAGGTAGGGAGGGGGGGGGGGGGGGGGGATGGTTGAAGAACTTAAAATCCCTCTACAAAATAAAAGGGAGGCAAAAACTATAATTTATTGTGTTGAAATAGGTACGACTAAGCTGCTCAAACATTTAAAAATTTGTACATATATTTAGGTTTTAAATATAAGTTAGTGCTATATATATATAATATATAAAAAAAAAGGGGGGTGGGGCGGCAAATTATATCGTGTACCGCGGTGCATAATCGATTATGCACTGAGCTTCAAAACAACGTTGTTTTGTTTAATGAAAGAAACGGCACCCTTCTCGTGTCGTTCCGCAAAAAGTAACTCTGTTATTCAGTTTCATTCTGTATACACTGCAGTGTCAGTTCAACACAACTAAAGTTTCATTTCGATATAACTACAGTTTCATTTGATATTTATACACTCAAATATGTGAAAATGTTATTTTATTTTATTTTATTTTATATACACTATAGTTTCATTAAAACACAACTACATGATCATTTCAATATAACTACAGCTTCATTGCACAATATACACTCAAATATGTGAAATGTTATTCAGTTTCATCACTGCAGATTCATTTCAACACAACTACAATATCATTTTGATATAACTACAATTTCGATGGGTAATATATACTCAAATATGTGAAATTTTTATTTAGTTTCATTTTGTATACACTGCAGTTTTGTTTCAACACAACTACATTTTCATTTCATTTCAAATGCAGTTTCACTTGATAACATAAAAATAATACGTGAGGCAATGTCAATTTAAATACATTGTAATTTTAGTTGGTAATTAATACACAAAAAATACACACTCCGAAACTGTAACGGCGCGCCATTTCTTTACTTAAAGAAACAACGCCGTTTGTTACCGCGATCCACGATATAACAACCCGGGTGAGGAGGGATTGGGGAAGCAATTACCCCAGTGCTTCATTGCCCCTATTGTAGGAGCATATAGTCTCCTTAATACAGTTTCTCTCAGTATATATCTTCCGATAATGACAAAATTCAATGTCAACAATAATATTAATATTATAGCTTGCTAAGTGAATTAATTTGAGATTTAAAATTTGTAACTTTTCATAAAACCCTTTATTTGGTACCTAAACTAGATTAGTGAATTCACCTCAGATAGATTGAACAGAAGATAGGATTACAAAGTATATCGTAGAACTAATCTCTAACTAATAGAAAGCTAAGTCAAACAGAATTACCACCACTAATCTATGACTATATATTATACAAATAATAAATATAAAAATACTAGTCATACTAACACACCCCCTCAAGCACAAGGTTGTAGACAGACAACATTGAGCTTGTCCCGTAAAGCTGCGAACCTTGACGCTGAAAGAGGTTTGGTGAAGACATCCGCTAACTGATCCGTGGTAGACACATAATTGACGACGAAATCTCCTGAAGCAACCTTGTCCCGGACAAAATGGTAGTCGATTTCGACATGCTTCGTGCGGGCGTGGAACACAGGATTGGCACAAAGGTAAGTAGCCCCAAGATTGTCGCACCATAGCGTCGCAGGGTGGCCTGAATGCATCTCGAGTTCCCGTAGAAGTGACACAACCCAGGTGACCTCTGCGGAGACATCTGCTAGGGCTTTGTACTCAGCTTCAGTGGAGGACCTAGCAACAGTGCGTTGCTTCTTCGACAGCCAGGAAATAAGATTGGTCCCTAGATAAACCGCAAAACCACTGGTGCTCTTTCTATCTACTGGACAACCGGCCCAATCCGAATCGGAGAAGGCATGTATACAGGTCGAGGAAGATGAGGCAAGCTGGAGGCCGAAGTCGAGAGTTCCCTTGATGTAACGCAGAACCCGTTTCACAAGAGCCCAATGGTCTACTGTTGGTGAGTGCATGAATTGACACAATCGATTGACTGCATACGCCAAGTCGGGCCTAGTGATAGTCAGGTATTGCAGCGCTCCAACTATGCGACGATACTGAGTCGGATTATCAAACAGTTCCTCCGTAGGTGTGACTAATTTAGTGACAGCAGCCGGTGTAGTGAGGGGTTTACAGTCAGTCATCCCTGAGCGCCCTAGGAGATCCGTCATATAACGACGCTGAGACAGAATAAACCCGTCACCTGACTTGATCGTCTCAATGCCCAAGAAGAAGCCGGGAGATCCCAGATCCCTGATCTTGAACGTAGTGGATAGACGCTGTAGAAGAGTAGCCACCAGTTTGACGTCATTGCCCATCATTATTATGCCATCGACGTACACCAATAAAAACACACGGGAGTCCCCAGTTGCATAATAAAACAGGGATACGTCGGTTTTAGATGACTTAAAACCTGCAGATAAGAGAAAGTCATGAAGACACTTGAACCAAGCCCGAGGTGCTTGTTTCAAGCCGTAAAGAGAGCGCTGTAGATGACACGCATGGCCAGGTGTGGTGGGGTCCTCATACCCCGGGGGCTGCTTCATGTACACGGTTTCAGCTAGATGCCCATTTAGGAAGGCATTATGCACATCTAGATGCCGCAATGTCCACCTGTTGGAAACAGCCAGGGAAAAAAGCATCCGTACTGTAGTCGGTTTGACCACCGGACTGAATGTGTCAAACAAGTCTTCTCCTGCTACCTGATTAAACCCCTTTGCCACTAGCCGGGCTTTGTACCGCTCAACAGAACCATCAGCAGTGCGTTTGGTGTGAAAGACCCATTTGCACCCGATGATGTTCATGTGTGGCTTAGGTGGAACAAACCGTCAGGTGTTGTTATGCAATAAGGCGTTGAACTCCTGGTCCATAGCCTCACGCCAATGTGCATGGCCCACAGCCTGTGAGTAGCATGTGGGATCCGCTACTGCGGTTAAAGCCTGGAAAGGCTCCTCCGTACCCCTCGTCATGTGTCACAGCCGCATGACATGATCACGACTTTGTGGCTGGGCACGTCGTTTCCTCGTTCTTACCGGGGCAGTATGTGTTATAGCTAGCCGTGGTGACTCACGAGCCAAGGGTATTGGCTCAGGTTCGGGCGGGGCCGGTGTTTCAACCGGTGCAGCTATTGGGCCCGAGACAATTGGTGCTGATGCCCACGGTAAGGCCGGTGTGGTAGGCACTTGTGCTGAATAATCTGTGTCAAAAGGAAAGATAGATTCGTCAAAGCGGACATGACGACAGATATAAGTCTTTCCGCTAATTAGATCAGTGCACCTATATCCCCTAAAGGACGGTGGGTAACCTAAGAAGACACACGGGGTGGAGCGATACTCAATCTTGTGCCGGTTATATGGCCTTAGATATGGGTAACACCGACACCCGAAGACACGAAGGAAGGTGTATGGGGGTGACGTATTAAAAAGACGGGTGTATGGGCTTTCAAAATTAATGGCTGATGAAGGTAAATAATTGATTAAGGTGGTTGCTGTTTCGAAAACAAAATCCCAATATTCATGGGGTACTTTTCCTTCGGCGAGTAGAGTTAAGCCAGTCTCAACAATATGTCTATTGCGGCGTTCTACTCTGCCGTTTTGCTCATGTGTATATGCGCAGGATTGGCGGTGATTTATTCCCAAAGATTGGAATATTTTGTGTAGTTTTTGGTACTCACCCCCTAAGTCAGATTGAATTGATTTAATAGAGCGCGAGAATTGCCGCTCTACCAGGACGCGAAACGACTCAAAAGCTTTATATATGTCTGATTTTACCCGTAATGGATAAAACCAGCAGAATCTGGAGTAGTCATCTACAAAAAGACAAAAATATCGAAAACCACTAATAGACAATACAGGGGAAGGCCCCCAAATATCGGTCCAAATTAAATCTAATACATTTTTAGTGGAATTGGGAACACTATCCAACTTAAATCTAGATGACTTTCCGAGATGACATGAGGTACACGACTCGATTAATGCAGCTTTATTAGGTGTGACGGGGCACTTTTGGAGAACTTTATTTAGGACTTGCTTGTGCGGGTGTCCTAGCCTGCGGTGCCAAGTGGTGGGAGTAGCCCGGGAACTGACGAACGCGAAATTTTGCCTTGACACCGGGAGTTTATAAAGGCCGCCCGATGTTGGCCCTTTAAGCAGAATTGTGTTGGTTGTGGAGTCCTTCACAGTAAAGTAATTGGCATGAAATTCAAAAAAAAAACGTTATTGTCAATTGCAAACTTATTGACAGAGAGTAATGGAACAAAAAGACTGGGTACATGCAGAATATTCTTTAAACACAGTGTTTTAGACAAGGATGGGATAGTTGCACGACCAATTCGCGAAATAGACAAACCTGCCCCATTACCCACTTTGAGAACGTCTGAACCACCATACTCATCCGATTGGCTCAACATGTTCGGGTCCGGAGTTGCGTGAGCGGTGGCCCCGGTGT